CTTTTAAATAAGGAGTGTTTCTTCCGAAGTTTCCCAGTCTTCCCATTTAATTAGCCAGAACAGCATCATATGTCATGGCCTAAATCAATCACTGGTCTAGGGAATCAGAATTACAATGACTAGTTAGAATTTATACCAATCGGTACTACTCCCTGGGGCTGGGCAGGGGCTGCCAGATTCCCAACTAGCAAAGTAGTAGTAATGGTGATAAAACAACCCAGTAACAGAAACTGTCAAAACTCCTTTGCTAGGGAGGATCAGAATAAGCCAAAACCAGAGCTGCAAGTATCATCTATACAAACACTTTAAATTAGGCAGTGAAATCACTACAAAGATTTGTTAGGATAAGGAAGTTTAGCAGAGCAGAAATAGTACAAGACATAAGAACACATGAGAGGCAGTTAAATACAGCAGGTTCTGGACTCAGGAGGTGAGGGCAAGCTATAATTACAATGGACCTAGATTACCAACCTTTGGACTAGTTACTTTCTCTTCTCAATTTATTACTGTAAGTAAGATTATTCAAACTTACAAATTACCTTGATTTAGATGTTGAAAAAAAAGCTGATGGGCTGGGAAGGTGGCTCAGTGGTAGAGTGCTTGCCTTGCATGCATGTGACCCTAGGTGTGATTCCTCAGCACCACATAAGCAGAAAAAGGTGGAAGTGGTGCTGTGGCTCAAGTGGTACAGTGCTAGCCTTGAGCTGAAGAGCTAAGGGACAGCGCCCAGGCCCAGAGTTCAGGCCCCATGATGCCCCCACACATACATACAAAATAAAAATTCTCTCAGACCTTGGTTAAGTTTTGTTGTTTCAGTGACAAACTTTCATTTTGAATTCTATCAGTAAAGTAGTAATTTAATTAACACCTTAAATCTTAGAGAGGTTTGTATGTACAAAAATCGATAACAATTTTATTACTGGTTAGGGTCAAGAATAGGATCTAAGGCATAATGCTTATGTGCCTCTGATCACACAAAATAACATTTACTGAAATGAACTCCAAGAAATGAAAAAATGTTTTTTTCTTTGTTACTATTGTTGTTTCATTTCCTTTTTGTTCTGTATGTTCATTTATATGTCTTTGGAAGTATAAAGGGAGGCAAAGAACTGGAGGGATAAAGGGTAAACAAATGCAGCAATGCTACTCATTGGACACTATGTTGAAAATTAACTATACAACTTATGGGTAGGATGGGAAGGAAAAACTGGGAGAGAGCAAGGGAAGGGGTTACATTGTCCAAAAAGGAATGTATTCTTTTTTTTTTTTTTTTT